AATTCCTAATTTTAATATTTTTAGGATTTTAATTTGTCAGGATTTTGTGTATCGGGATTTTGTTGCTGGGATTTTGTATGTCAGGATTTTGTGTGTCAGGATTCTGATATACAACCGCTTGAGATATAGGTCCTCGAACAGCAATAGCACCTGGCTTAAGATATAGTTTAGAAGTAAATCAGCTAGAAATTTTTAAACTTGGTTTATTAGAAAAAAAAAAAAACTTAATAGTAAGGCAAAGCTTTATAGTAGAAATATATAAACATTATATCTAAGTAGTATATAATTTTTTAAAACTTGGCATAAGTAATAATAGTGCTATTTTGTTTGTTTTTATTTTTTTCTTTTTTATGTTTTTTTTATTTTTTTTAGTTATAATCAAATAGTATTTAAAATTTTTATTTTATTTTTTTTTTATATCTCTTTCTTTCTTTTTTTTTTTTTTTTTTCTTTTTTTGAATTGGTCTTTTTCATTTATAATGGTAGCTATTTTTTTTTTCTTGGATAAAAGTAAGTGATAAACTTTTTTGCCTAGATTTAGATAGAAAAAGGTTTAAAAAAGGAGAAATAGACAGTCTTGATATACTAGTAGCTACTTGTTATTGAAGTTTGATTGTTAAGTCTAATGCTAGCTTAGAAACTAAATAAAGATAAATAGCTACTACAGCTAGTTGCATTTGGGTTCTTTAGAATTGAGTAAGTTTTTATTTTAGAAGTAGAACTATTGTATTGTACTGTAGTAATATAGTATATAGTTAAAAGTATATAAGTATGCTATTCTAAAATAAATAAAAGCAAAACTGTACTAAAAAAAAAAATTAATATCATATATAAAAAAGTACTTTTAAGTTATTTTAAAATCTGTAATATTTTAAATATTTTATATAATATATATTTTGATTAAAATTAAATAAAATTTTAATTAAATTTTATATAATAATAAAAAATAATTTTGTTGTTATCTAAAACAATATTTATAAAATAATATTAAAATTTTTTTTATATTTTTGATTTAGAGTTAAAGTTTAGACTAGTTTGTTTATTTTCAATAAATAAATAATACTATAATATATTTTTTGTATAATTATTAATTATTGAGTTTAGTATTTTTTAAAATCCTTATACAGTTAGACCTTGATATAATCACCAGGTTGGGATACAAAATTTTGGTGATTATAAAAAGTCGTGACTATATAAAGGTCAAAATTTATATGTTTTATAATAGATAGATCAAAAAAAATAGTGTGATTATAACAAGGTTGCGACTATATTGAGAGTGACTATAACAAGGTCTAACTGTATAAGGCATAATATAACTAAAGTTTTTATTATACTAATATAATAAAAATAGTATAATAATAGATATAATACTATATAACTAGTGTTAGCAAATAAAACAATAAAATAAAAGCCTGATTTTTTGTTTTTATATAAAAAAATTTTTTTTAATTGTTAAAGTAAAATCTTGCTTATATCTTTGTTTGGTAATTTATTTTGATAATTATAATAAAAACCCAATTTGTATAAGACAAATAGCTATAAATTATATATAAGAATAAAAGCTCAGACTAGAAAATTAAACTAGAGGATCAAACTAATTATTTGCAATCTAAACCTACTAAAGTGGTCAAAACTCATCTAAATTTTAATAAATAATATATGATTTGTAAAAAAAAATTTTTATTAATAATTTGCAATTATTTAAATATATATTGTTAGACTATTGATAAAATAATAATTTAAAATATTTTTATATTTAATTAGTAAAATTTAATACAGAAAATTTACAATAGAAAAATAAAAAAAGTAAATAGAATTAGAAGTCAATAGAACAAACATAGTAATATAACAACTCTGTATATAACTAATATTTTGCTTATAAATAGTTTAATATAGTTTGGAGTCTTTTAGAAATTTCTAAAAATTACTATATTTACCCAACATATATACCTGGATATTTCTCTAGTTTATTTTAGTACCCTGGGTATATATGTAAATATATTGTATGGATATAAATATGTTTCATTATATTTTTCTAAATATAGAAGCATGATGGTATCATACTTAGGTACCTAGGTATAAGTCAAAAATTGGCTGTCAAAATTGTTACAGAGTAAAATGAAGTAGCTTGTTTGGATCAGAAATCTTCATGTCTTCAAATAAAATAATTTAATTGGCTAAATTTTTTTTAATTATAGTATTATACCTATACTCTAAAATTGATTTATGTTCTTGATGTATTTTTAAATAGACTAATTGTAGCCTATGCATCATATTCTATTTTATTAGTACAGAAAAACAAAAATTTTTAAGATTAAATCAAAATATATTGATAACTAACTAATCAAATTCATGAATTTTTTTTTATTTGAATTCAATAAATCCATAAAATTTAAATAAAAAAATTTATTGAATTTTGTCTGGTGGTTGTGGAGATATCTTCGCTCAAGTTAGAGAAAAATCAAACGCCGATTAAAATAAGGTCGCTTATGTGCGAGATAGAAGCTCCCTTTTATTATATGACCCAAATCACCAACGTTACGCCTCTGGCCTTATAGCATAAAGTCTATATTTTGGAATATAAAGTATCGATCGTACAATTCACTCCATGACAATATATAATAAATAATTTAATTTTACTTTAACATACAAATTTTGTGATCTAGTTAACGTTTTAAGTTCCACTACTCAAATGGTATACGCGATTGTCATTTTCACCAAATTTTGCACAGCGTTCACCATCTAACCAGGTTGCTAAAAACCCATCACCGATTATCTAATCTATGAAGGAATTCACTCGATTACATTTTCGTTATTTGTAGCATTAAGTTGAACTCTTTAATACAATTATCGACATCCCTATTTTTATTTGTTCATCCTTGTATCGTTTATAAGTGCCACATGTCTTATACCAAGCTTCCGGTGTGTTATATCAATTGCAATTTACACATTTTCCAGACTTTTATAATATCTTTTAGAACCAAATTCATCAAATACCAACAGTATTTATTTGCAGCTGCGGTTTTAATTAATCCATAGACTCTCGATCTATTGAAAATTCTGTCTCTAATTGCATATTATTTTTAAACTTACAAATATAAGTAGAGTTTATGTAAATACCGTACGTTATTAATTAAATAAACTACACATGTATAAATAATAAATCTTTTTACTATAGGGTACCCCTTCCACATAAGATTAATATGATTGGTTAGATATATTATAACTCTAATAATTATTTTTGATATGTAACTTAAAACAAACCGAAATGAAAATTTACTTTTAACAGTGCTGATAATGTACTATTAAATCAAACCTTTATAAATAGATGTGCTTTTTTTAGCATTTTGTTACTATAATTTAGTTTTTAAAAGGATTTGAAATTATGCTAATATTAACAATATATTAGTAGTAATTTCATAATAATAAAGGCCTAAAAATCACCATCATTTAGCTAATTTATTAGGTATTCTAAAGGTGCTAATAACGAAATAATTTTGTAATAAATGATGTACTTTATATTGCCTACTATTGACAAATGATTACATATTTCGAAAATGTCATATTTTTGCAAAATGGCGTTGGAATAATATTTTTAGTATCACGATTACATTTTATATAGATTACAAATGCTAGTAAGCATGCAATAATAGTAATCGCAACGGCAATCACAACTGCAATAACAACAACAACTATATTATTAGGTGGAGGGGACGAAGATAGAGTATGTGCAGAGGGCGATGGAAATGGAATATATGTAGTTGAATTTATCGACCACACGTTGGTTTGTATGTTAAGAGTATATATATTATAATTGAGATTATTAATCAAAGCATAACTAGTTGTGAAATCAAAGGTCCCATTGTAAGAAGTAGCGCCTATATTAATTAGAATGCAATTAATAAATAAAAACGAATGCAATAAAAGCATTATAGAAACTCTATGAGTTTATTACCAAATGCAATTATCATAGGAGTTTCATTTATTGCTGCCACGTGGCCAGTTATGTAATGTGGAGCATTTTGTCCAATTGTTTTAGTAGTCCATGTGTACGGCGAGGTATTTGTATTCAACGCTGCCATTGTTGGAATGGGTGATTCTTTACGATTATTTCCACCATAAATTAAAATATTGCCATCTGGTACTGCAATTTTTAAACACAAAGAAAAAGTTATCAATACTAAAAAAAAAAAAAAAAAGATTAAGCAATCGTGATAATACCTAGAACTGCCGTAAATAATCCTCGTCCTTGAATATTATCACCGACTGCATTCTAAATTCAAAAAAAAATAAAAAAATAAAAAATTATCAGATTTTGTATGCATTTTGTCTAGACAACTTAATTATCGAATATATACCACAGCCGACCAATTTCCCGATAACGTATCATAAACAAGAATCTGATTACATAACAAAGTCATAGACATCATTAATAGAGTCGGATACGATCAATTAATCTACTATGCTTTATCGTTTTTCACTAAGAGCTCATTAACAGTTCATTTCACTAAAAGTCTTTTTACCAATAACTTTTTCATACCATGACGTAAAAAAAGAATTATACTACAGTAAGTTGTCTAACCCTAGTATTTAAAGAGGGCATCAAATTAACTTATATAAAATTCTTGCATATGATGAATTATTTTTTTCAATGAACTAAACTGTCGTTAACCTTATTCAGATGAAATAATACGTCATTCAATTGAATGTCATTCAATAAAGCACGTAAGTAATTTTTATCATTCATACTTAAACTATGAATGAAACCTGAGACTCCAAAAAACTTTTGTTGCGAACTACAGTACAATTATACAACATACAACAAAATTACCTGTGACATATCAATACGTATAACTACTAGTAGAGCCATCAACACCTCCAATATAAAGAATTTTTCCATTTGGTAATATTATTGAAACCATGTTAAACCGAGATGTTGGTGCATTATAGGTTGATCCAAAAGACCAAGAATATGTATTAGTATCAAAGTAGTTAATATCATTAAAATAAATCCTTGTAGTACCATTAATTCCTCCAAAATACCAAATCTTTCTACTTTTATCAATAACAGCAGTTGCCTGAGTTCTACTTTGAGGTACAATTCCATTTGAACCCGTTTGATACCATTTATTGTTAGATATATTGTAAGCATATACCATATTAAGATTAATCAAAAATACAGTATTGTTGCCATTAAATACTGCATTAGCTGCTGAAACACTAACAGGCATATCACTCAAAAGATACCATGGATTTGGTGTACCAATGAGTGATATATCAAGATACATAGCTTGATAAGTTCCTGTAGAATATGAAAAAGAATAATATGTAATAAGAATGTTTAATTTATGTATTTTTTAAATATTTTTATCTTGGTCATGCAAGATTTCATACTTGATGTACAGTACGTCCGTACATCATTCCAAATTAATATTGTGACTTACACTAGAGGTTGGAACCACTAAAACCGGCTACTGTACATCAAATTTTAGGTAAATTGCAAGCTAGTTATTAATTTAATTTCATGATATCTTTGCAATATCACGGGATGAACTACAAAAATCAGCCAATTACAATGAAAGCCCGCTATGTTATATAGATCAATATCGTTACCATTGAACCTAGGTGCCGCACTAAAAATGCGCGGCAGATCCTCAATTTTGATTGGCTAACGGCCGAGGATCTTCAAAATTTTGACCCGCATTACATAATTTTTACTATTTTCCGGCCGGAATTAACTTTTTAATTTTTTCATTATAAAAATAGAAATAAGCCCTTACGTTAATTGATAAAATAATTACGTATCTAACTTTATTACTGTAAACACTTTATACTTATCTATTTCAACCCCAATTCCTAAATAATAACAATAACCAACTTGATCTATTCTATTTGGATTATTCATCTCTGCAGGTTTTTGATAATGAATGAATGCTTTATCCTTATCTTTTTCAACCCAAATTCCATATTACCGATCAAGTTAGTATACATTAGATTATATATATTAGTATCTTAAATAAACTAAAAATAAAAAATAAAATTATATATATTAAATTATTACTATCAACCAAATTGACATAAATAAAATAATATAAATAGATTATTTCAAGATAAATAACTATTATATTTACTAGATATATCAATAATCAAAGAGAAAAATTAATAAGTTGATAAATTAGATTATACAAACTGCTAATAAATAAATAAATAAATATTATATTTACCAAATGAATAAAGGAATTATATTGGCTAGATTAGTATATGGTAAGTAAAAAAAAATTAGATTATTTTAAGGGTAGGATGAACATAGATCAATTTTTATATATGTATATCATCTAAAAAAAAATTATGCAAAAATTGAACATATGTTATATATAAAAGTTTTTAAAAATACAATTTTTTTTTATGAAATTTTTACAGTATATACATTAAACCTGTTTAATTATGATCATATAATTTTAAACTGCTGTTATATTCAAAAAAATATACTTATATATATTTCTAATTCTTCCTAGAATAACCAAAATTTGCCTAGGTTATACAATATAAATAACACATGATCATTATCTGATTTCAATTGAATATTATTGTAAAAAAATTAAAAAGTGATCATTAGTAAAATTGATCGATGTTCACCCTACCCTTAAGTATCTTGATCATTAAATATACTTGGCGAAACAACTTGAATAAAAGACTAAGATGTAATTTATTGTCTATATTAGCATGAGTAAGAAATTAAATTAATAAATTATTACAAATAGCTTAAAAAATAAAATGTATATGTATAGTACTTACCAGTTGAAAAAAAAAATAAAAGTAGTTGAATATTTAGATAGTAAATAGTTGTTATTATCATGATTAAATTAACAGAAATAAATAAATAAATAAATATTATTTTATTTACAATTAATATAAATAAAATAGTAAGTAAAACAAAGAGTTATATATAATAAAAAATGTTTTTGCATTAGCATTAGTATAAAAAAATTGTTAAATAGTAGTTAACTCTGATTGGCTAGTAGGAGCAGATTATCATATAGTTCAAGTAGAATTTTACTTACTTGACACTTTTTTTTACAATGGCTAGGGTACTAGCTAATAAAGTCCCAATTTTAGTTTTTATAAAGTTTTTAGAGATTCTAAATATTTTTATTTAGAATACTTGATCCTATTTACTTAGTATATTTTTAAGATATAAGCACCCTAGTGATGATCACTACTGGTTATAGTTTTGATGTTTTTTAACCTATATATTAACTTAAAATTAAATTTTGCAATTATATAAAGTATAAAAAAAAAAAATTTTTCTTTATTTAGCAAGTTACAGTTTTGCTATCTTTGTATATTAAAAATATAACTTTATTAAAAATAAAAATTTATTAATTAGTTTGCCTAAACTTAGATTTTCTAGACTTAAGTTTTATCTCTTAAATTGTAATACAGACAAATTTGTCTACATTTTTATTAAAAACCTTAAGAGGTAGTCTGCAGTTGAAGAGTATAAATTACATAGTAAAAATTGGCAAAAATTTACTAATTGCTTTATATAGAAATAAAATCTCGTATGATTCCGTTCTTAAGAAAAAACCTTATAGTAAAAAATCAAAATATACACATTTTTCATGATATATTTAACTAATTTTGATGATTTTACTTTTATTAGAATCAGAAAAATTAGTTCTACAACTTTATTTAGAAGTTAAAGAAAAATTTATTTAATAAAAAAAATACTTTGATATATAAGCAAGCTAGATTCCTATACTATAAATATTGATTTTAGCTATATATTTTCTAAGTAAAATATTTAATTTTAAATTTATTTTATTAATTTTATTAAGAATTTTTTTAAAATTATTAAAAAACTTTAGCATAATAAAACTTAATTTGTATAATAACAAATAAATATAAATTATATACAAGAATAAAAGCTCAGACAGTTTATTATTTGCAATCTAAACCTACTAAAGTGGCCAAGACTTATCTAGATTTGAAAACTTTATACAAATCTAGGTGAGTTCTAGATAAGTATAAAGTTTTATAGTAATACTATAAGATATGTAAGAAGTAAGTTATTTGTAGTATAAAAAAGTTTAATATAAGTTAATAGTTATAAATATAGTAAAGTTAAAGAAGAATTGTAATAAAATTAAAATAAAAATAATAGTATAATTTAGATAGTAGTAATATTATAAAAGAAGTTAAAAAGAAATTATAAATGATAAATATAAAGAAAAAAATAAAAAGAACATTTAATATATATAGTCAGTACTTGTCACCACAGTGCACTAGGTCTAACATCCTACCGGTAGAATTGAACACACAATCCTGCAGTTATATACTTTAACCACTAAACTACTGTGGTATATACAGTAAAATTTTAAAATTGTACATTTTTTGATCTGTTTTGTTAAAGATTATCCAATAGATTTCATTAATTTGTTCTCGTGTTTTGATAATCATATTTTAAAAATAGATTAAGATTTGTATTACATATATTCTTATTGTGTTAAAAGTCATTTGAATTAAGTTGAAGATTGTTAAAATGAACAAATATAATTATTTAAATAGTCATTTAAAGCATGCTTATAAATGAAGTCTTTCATCTTGACAAGTAGTAGTTGAAGCTACAAGTAGTACTAAAGTAAAAAAAACATGTTAAACAGAATGTTTTAGCATATCAAGAAATAATTAAAATTGAAGATAGTAATTTAGTTGATAAGTATCTATATGAAATTACTAGTATAAATTTTTTTGAAGAGGAACAGTAAGTAAAAAGATATAAATATAAGATAAATAATAGAAATAAAAAGAAAGAAAAAGAAAACTGAAAATTAATACTAATAAAAATATTTGTATATTTAGTCTTCAAAATGAGAATAAAGATTTGAAAAAAAGACTTGAAGTTTTAGAAATTCAGCTATGAAAAAAGAAGTTGAGTCAAGCAACAATAAATTTTCAAAAAGATATTGCATATAATCATTTGAATGAACAAAAGAAAGAGTTGTTGCAAAGAATAGAATTGTTGTGAAAGTATTATTTTAAAAAGGATTATGTAGTTGGTTTTGAAGATAGTAGTTATAAAGGAATAAATTAGAGTAGTTGAGTATATAGAGTAAGATAATTTGTTTGTTGCTTAGTTGTAT